TACGGTGTGATAGAATTCTAGCCAAGGAAACAGAAGAGGAATTTCCCCGAGTGAGACTTCTAGGAAGAGCTTTGGCTTCACTGAGGGAAGGGAACAAATGTAGCTCTCCTCCCCAGACCCTGATGAAGAGAGGGACCTAAAAGGCTAATGGTACCAGTTCCTAGCAGGCCGAGGAGCTGACAAGCCTAAAGACAATCCCGACAGTGGCCTGAACCAGTCTGAGTCCCCTCTGGAGAACCTGGGAATTTTAAATAGTAATAGAGGATGTTCTTATATGAAATCTGAAGTCATAGAGGAAGAGTGACCAGGAAGCGTGCATAGGAATTCACTCGGGACTGAGAACAACTGAGCAAACTCATTGCTCAGCAAATAGCAATCACATAAGAACGCAAAGCTTCCTGATAACATTCCTGTCCTTGGATGCCACACGTAACTTCTGATACTGAGTTGTCTGAGGTTCCCCAATGTTCTCTCAATTACTTTCAGAGGGTTTGTCTTTTTACTAAAGTCCCTAAATATGGGAACGCCTGGCGGGCTTAGCTGGTAGAGCATGCAAGTCTGGATCTTGGGGTCGAGTTCAAGCCTCACATTGGGTGTGCAGCCTACTTAAAAAAAAAAAAAAAGAAAAGAATGTTTAACACCCCTGACTATAAGACATTCACATCTTTTGAGGATGGTGGATCTGTCAGTTAGACTAAAGCCAGGCCCTCTCCAATATACCCTCCACAGTAACTGGTCTGCCCTCTGGATGGAGAAGGAACACATTAGTCACTCTACTACAAGGCAGGACTTCAGACACTAAATTGTTGGAGTTCTGTGTCCCTAAAGTTTCCCTTTTCCAAATCTGTCCTCGCCTCCCTCTTTTGCCTCCTAAAAGTCTGACTGGTCACTGACTCCTTCAGAGGATACTGTCTAAAGCCCATCCCTGGACATGGAGTAATCTGGCTAGTCCTGCACATGGATGTTTCACTTGAGTCCCTCTGAAATAACTACTAATCCTGAAAACCAGGAAGCCATCTCCTGACTTATGGTAGCTTCCAGGGGGAAGCTCTTCTTCCCATTTGCCTGAATGAGCGAATAGCTTTCTTCCCTTTGGGTGATAAAACTGATGATGCTTTTTTTTTTTTAATTTGGCTACCAGGAAAGTCAAAGACAAATGAGAAATACAGGGACCAGATACTATGTAGGCCCAGCATATTTATTTTCTTATCCATGCCTTGACTTCCTGCTATTATTAAAAATATTTTCCTAATTGCGGTTCCTATTTGTAATTTAGCACCATTATATAGTGTAGTGTAGAAGCTTGCTGTGAATTGCCTCAAATCCCCCATGGGAGAAATGTAGGGACATAAATATGAAAAAATAAAACATTATAAAAGGAAATACATCAAAAGGGATAGATGGTTGTCAAGGCACTGAAAGGGATGGGAATGGATAGAAATGAAACGGATGGAAACTTAAAAGTCAGGGAGTGGAATGGAATTAATAGCATGGGTCCAAAAATGTAAACGAAGGAAATGGAATAAATAGAAAAATCGGGGGCTCCTGGGTGGCTCAGTCAGTGAAGTGTCTGCCTTCAGCTCAGGTCATGATCCCGGGGTCCTGGGATCGAGCCCCATGTCAGGCTCCCTGCTCAGCGGGGAGTCTGCTTCTCCCTCTCCCTTTGCCTGATGCTCCCCCTCTTCCTCTCATGCTCTCTCTCTTTTCTCTCTCTCTCTCTCAAATAAATATTTTAAAAAATAATAAATGGAAAAATCATAGTGGAAAGGAATGAAAAGGAAAAGAATGGAGTGAAATAAGCAGGTGTGGAAAGGAGAGGAATGACATGGAACATAGGATTAGAACCGAATGGACAAGAGTAGCAAGAGAAGGCATCTGAGGAGAGGGAAAGGGTGCAAAGGCAAGTGACAAAAAAGTAATACGACAAAGGGCAACTGGGAGTTCAGAATGGCCGACCAGGAACGAAGCTGGAGTGCTGCAGGATCAAGCATGAGGAGACGGAGTCGAATGCAGCTCCTGCAAGGAGGTGGAAGGGAAGGAGATGGCCTGAAACTGGAAGCTAAAGGGGATGGAAAGTAGCATGGGCTGCTAGAAGGGAGCGGGACGGGATAGAAGGACAGGAGCGTGGAATGATGGATGATGCAGGGGAGCAGAGAAGGGACAGAAGAGGAAAGAGTGGATGGGAACGGGAAACGGTGGATAGGACGAGCAGAAGACGGAGGCCCGGGGGAAAGGGCATGGAGGGAGAAGAAGGAAAGAAGTGGAGGGGAAAGGAGGAGAGTGGGGAGGTACTGTGTGCAGGGAGAAGAAAGGGAACAATCTGGAATGAAATGAAAGCCGGCTACGTGGGGCTGTGTAAATAGGGATACTGAGCAGAAAGGGGTAGGATGGTGGGAGCCAGAATGCACAGGACGGACTAAATATATGAGTGGGGAAGAACAGGGGGGAGAAGGAAAAGAGTAGACATGAGACAGAGGGCTGCGATAGAAGCAGAGTGGACACGAATGGGAGAGAAGGTCACGGACTTTGGAAGGGATGAACCAAGTGGAGTTTGAGGGAAAAAATAAAAATGAAGAAAATGCAACAGAAATCCATGGGAAAGAATGGAAGGGACACAAGGAAGAGATGGAAAGGAATGGAATGGGATGACATAAGAGGAAAAGAAGGAATTTTATGGAAAGGAACAAAAGAAATAGAGCGCAGAGGGATGGAGGGGAACGGATGTAAACAGCAAGACAAGCAAATGGTTGGCATAATGGGGGAAGGAAATGGAGTTAAGTTGGCCGCCTGAGTGGCTCAGTCAGTTGAGCACCCAACTCTTGGTTTCGGCTCAGGTCATGATCTCAGGGTTATGAGATGGAGCCCCCATCATGCCCTGTGCTAGGCAGTTGGGAGGGGGCAGGGGTGTCTGCTGGAGAGTCTCTCCCCCAGCATCTCCCCCTCCTCCTTTCGCTCTCTCCCCCATCCCCAAAAAAAGAAAAGAAAAAAAGGGAGTAAAGGTAAAATGGATAGAAAGGAAATGAGTGGTGTAGGAGTGCCCACAGTACTGACCCCATCTTGTTCACGTCTGTGAGATGACCTTGCTTGGGGCGACCTGCCACCTGCCGGTTAAGGTGCGCCCCCACCGAGTATGGGAGGGTGTGTTCTGGTCTTCCCCAAAGCTGTTTAGGTAACTGGTAGAAATGACCTAGTTTCTTTTCAGCAAGGAGGAAGAGGCAGGATGGTGACCGCTGTCCACCTGTCCGAAGATTCAGGGTGGCATAAAATTACCTCATAGTTTGACTCTATGTTTCCTTTTGGTAGAGTGGGGACCGATGGATCCACAGCAACTTTAGGCAGGGGTTTTCTGGGGCTGTGAGAATAGTTCCTGGAGGGTGCTGATGGTAGATCCTTCTGCAGGGGAATGGAGAGATCAGTTAGGGACCACGGGCACAGACTGCCTTAAAAATCACAGTGGTTAGAAAGTGCCAGCCTGCATTCTTCAGTGACCCCAGAGAGGAATAGTTTTCACCAAGTCCTTACAAAGAATCAGAAGTGGATGTAAGTTTAGGACCCAGGGCCCTGCCCCTGATCTAGATCTAGAACTCTGTCTTTTCACCTGGCTCCCTTTGCAACCTCTACTCCCAAACTTCTTCGCACCCCAGCGCCTGCTAGCTAGTGCCACCTTGTCTGCAATCCAATTCAGAGCCCTGGAGGGAAAAGGAACCCAGTAGGAGCCAGAGACCTAGAATCTGGCCCAGCTGCGTCCGAGGCTTCGGGCCATTTTCTCTCCATCCCTGGCCTTGCGATGCACAATGAAGATTCTACAGGGTGGTTTCTCAGACTTGTCAAACACAAATTCTCAGATCGTATTTCTGCGGCAGCTTTTTAAAATCAAACTCAGCAGAGCCCACATTACCTCATAAAACTGCTCTGGGGGTTCTGGGGGTAGTACCTGGGGGAAAAGAAAGTAGTGAAGAGGTCAAGGGCTTGGGATGGGGATCAGTCCCAGAAATTCTCAGAAACAGCTTTGGCCTCAGAGGCAGGTACATCCCTCCTGATTCTCAAAGGAGCTCAGGCTAGGCATTGCCATAGTGAAGGGCAAGAAGACAAGAAGAGATGGGAAGCCAGGGAAGACCTTGGGATCCCCAGAGAAGGCAGGGGAGGAGATGCAGAAAGACTTAAGCCAGCCCTAGGTATCAGGAGAACACACCTCACTCCCCAACCCAAGAGGTGGGACTGGAACAGCCCTGCTGGCCTGGGGAAGGACCAGGGAGGGTCCCTCTGGAGCACTGCTCACCTTTTTTACTCCAACCTGTCCTTCAGGTTCAGGTAAATTGGCATACATGGGCCTCGGCCAGTCTAGAGAAAGGGAATGCCAGCCTGGGGCTGGAGATGGGAAGAGATGTGAGGGAAGGGGTTGTTTCTCCAGGTCACTCCTATCCCCAGAAAGGTAGTGGCAGAAACCTTCCTTCCATCTTCCCCAGGACTCCCCAGCACAGCTCCAGTGAACTTGACCAGGAAATCTAATTCTGGGTTAGATAAGGCTCTTTGATGAGGTGGCCAAGGATGGAAATCTAAGACCTAGCCCTAGTGGGCCTCTGGAGCATGGGTTTATCCTTTCTCCTTCCTGGGCGTGGATCTCCTCTCTGTGAAACTGAGCTGGATTGGACAGTCTCTTCCATTTCAGGGGGGAGGGCATCTTTCCGAAATCCCAGCCCAGAGATGTCAAAGATGTTTCATTTTGCTTTTAGTCAGCCCCCAAGCATCAGTAGAGGGCGCGTGAAGCACCGTGCTGAGGTGGGTTATAAGGCTGACTCTGGGTTCAGCAGGGATGAATGTTGTGACTGATTCTCTCTGCCTACAGCAATCAACTGGGAAAGTTTTCTGAAAGTGAGGAAGGAGAGAATATCCTATTTTTTTGCTGTGGCTGTTGGAACAGGGGAGAACTCCTAAGGGTTCTTGGCTCCAATCTCATCCGTGATCACTAGTGGCAAAGCTGGGAGCAGAGGCCCAGACTCCTGGTACCAGCCCCTTCCCCAGACCCCGCTGCTGCCCTGGGCATCAACGATGAAGTCACTTACTGGAACAGGACACTGCACAGGGCCCCTCTGCAGAGGTGGGTGTTGCTCCCTCCTGGATGGGGTCCTCCACTTTTTTGCTTGAGAACCTAAAACCCCAAATCCCTCATTCTTTTGCCTCCAGTCCTTGCCATCTTCACAGGCCCTACCCATACCCCACATCCATCCTTGGGCAATGTCCCAACCCCCCTGAGTTCCCCAGTTGCTACAGACACAGCTCAGCACCATGGTCAGCAACACTGGGGCCGGCAGGCTGAGTTCCCTAACCCATTCATTCCCAGCATTACCGTCTGGCGTTTCTGTTGCAGAGGAAATAGCCCAGCCCTGCGGATAGGGTAATGAGAGTCAGGATCCCAAGGGCAATGCCAGCAATGACTCTTGCAGACAGGGAAGACCTGGGACCTGGGCAAGGAGAAAGAATCAGGACCCTGGTCTGACACACCCTCTTGCCTGCCCTTGTCCTCATTCCCAAGCTGTGGCTTTGTCTCTACTGTCACTTGATAAATAGGTGTTTTCCAGTCACTGGGAGGCAGCATTTTGTGGTATTAATAGCATCATTTCTGGAGTCAAATGGCCTATTCACATCTCAGCTGTGTGACCTTGACCATGCTACTTAACCTCTCTGTGCTTCAGCTGTCTCCTCTGCAGAACAGGGATAATAGCGTCAGTGTTTGGTAAAAAGACTCAATAGAAGAGTATTCATGTTCAAAATATGGAATGTTCAACATGCCCCAGATAGGACAATATTTAGACCCATGAAAAGTGATCAGTAAATGTTGGTGGGATGACAATACTGCTTGGGATAATGGGTCAAATACAGCTTTCACAGGAAAGGGTTTTGAAAACCAGAAAGCTGGCTTTCCCCCCTTTTCCCCCTCCTTTTTCATACCTGAGTCACCTTTGACTCTCTGGGGCCCTGGGACCATGGGCAAGTGACATCCCCTTCTGAGTCCCGTTTCCTCATCTGCAAAGTGATGAGGCACAGTAATGATGCAAAGATGAAATGAGGTCATGACTGTGGATGCTGGGCACACCACAGGTGATTGATTAATAAATGGCAGCTGTAATCATTAATGTGGGCCTGTGTTTGCCCATCCAGCTTCTGCCCAAAAGCCTTCCCCAAGGGGTGACGTCCAGCCACAGGGATTAGGAAGGCAGCCATGAGGATCAGGGGGAGAGGAAGGGGCTCTCTGCTTTGGCGGGGCAGGAGGGGGCCTCCAGGGGGAATCGGGGGGTCTTAGTTTCACTCTCTAAGCCTTTCTTTCTGTGTCAAACAAGCATAGCCATTCATAACCCTCTAGGCTTCGAGGGGATTAAGGGAGCTCCCACGTAGGAGTAAGAGCGCCGCGCCTGACACAGTCCGTACTCGGTAAGAGGCTGTACATGATATGACGATGGTGAGAGATGCTGTCATCCACCAGGCTCTAGGCTCCAAGAGCCCTTCCTACGTGACCTCGTTCAAATCCTGCAACAGCCCCGTGACCATCAACCATACTCACTGCTTCCTCCTCTGAGCCTCAGTTTCTCCGTTCATCAAAGGGTCTTCACAAGACCAGAGGGTTATTTTGAAGGTTCAGTAAGGTAGTTTGGGGAAGGTGCATAGGGTCCTCCTCTCGGTGACAACTGAGAACCTGACTCCTGAGGCAGCCAGCCTGGCTTCAAACCCTAGGATGGGTCTCAGGCTCTCCTACACAATGGAGGTGCCAGCAGGCCTACCTCAGAGCTGGCTGGCAGGGGGCACCCACGAAAGGCTTGCTGATACTGTATATGGAAAGGCTTGTTTCAGGCATGTGGCTTAGGCTCAATAAAGAATAATTTTACTTCTTTAACAAACACAATATGCCAGGCACTGCCATAAAAACCTTACCAATGTTGGTTAATTTTGAATGACCCTCTGGTATAAGCATAGTTGTTATGTTTATTTTACCCACAAGGAATCAGAGGTTCAGAGAGGTTAAGCAGCATGCCCAAGGTCACACAGCCAATAAGCATTAGAGCTGGGATACAAAACTTTGACACTGTGTTGCCCTCTCAAGAACTCAAGATAAAAATACAGGTACTCGCTGCTAGTCACACCCAGCTGTGACTAATACAATTAATTAATACAATTCCTATGATTAGGGGCATGGGGGGGGCCTCAGTTGGTTAAGCATCTGCCTTCGGCTGGGATTGAGCCCCACGTCAGGCTCCCTGCTCAGCGGGAAGTCAGCTTCTCCCTCTCCCTTTGCCCCACCCCCTGCTTGCTCATTTTCTCTCTCTCTCTCTCTCTCTCTCTCTCTCTCTCTCCAACAAATAGAATCTTTAAAATATATATAATTTTGGGGGTGCCTGAGTGGCTCAGTGGGTTGAGCCTCTGCCTTCGGCTCAGGTCATGATCTCAGGGTCCTGGGATCGAGCCCCACATTGGGCTCTCTGCTTGGTGGGGAGCCTGCTTCTCCTCTCTCTGCCTGCTCTATGCCTACTTGTGATCTCTCTCTCTGTCAAATAAATAAAGTCTTTTTAAAAAATAAAATATACATAATTCCTACCAGTTCACTCTTTCACTCATTGGCTATCTCCCTGACTTGTCCTTCTAACAACTCTGGAAGATAACGCCTCACAACCCCCATTTCCAGGTAAGAAAACCGAGGCTCAGCGCAGCCTGGAGGGTTTTCCAGGGCCCACAGCTGGGAAGGAGAGGTTCTGGCTCCCGAGCATTAAAGGCTGGGATTTGGCAGCTCCAGATTGGGAACCTGGCCCATGCAGTACACCTGTTGTTACACTAGAAGATGGCATGGGGGGGAGGGGAGCATGGACGCACTCACCTGCCACTCTGACCAGGACAGAGGCAGAGCGGGCCAGGTGGGTCACCGGGTTGGAGGCCGTGCAGTTGTAGATGCCCTCGTATTCCCAGGTCAGGGCCTCGATGATTAGCTGCTCCCCCACATACACAGCGGTGGAGTGCTCAAGGGTCCAGTGAAACTTAGCGCCCGGCTGGGACTCTGCCTGACACTGCAGGGTCAGGCTGGAGTTGAGCTCTGCCTGGATAGTGCCGACCACCCCAGACGCCGCCCTGCTGGTGATGTCCACTCGATCTGGGCCATCTGTGTGCAAAGCCAAACATCACCGCTGGGGAGTTTTCCCGTTCTGCCCACTCTGCTTCCGCGCTGGAAGCTGGACCCCTCCCCTCACCCCCGCTTCTCGATTCTAACAGAATTCTAGGCTGTAGCCTGGAGAACGAAGTCTCTTCTAACTGCCGTTGAAAGGAGTCTCAGCAAGACGTTCCCTTTCCCTCCTTAGCCGCCAAGCAGGCAGCCTGTGGTCTACAACATGGAAGGGAGAAACCCAATGCAAAACATCAAAATAAAAAACAAACCCCCTGCTCTTGCAAAAGCGAGCTCTCACCAAGGAGCCTCGCAATGCATCCAGGCTTCCCGGATTGTTGCTGTGTCCCGTGAGCATAGCCCCACACTTGCAAAAACTTTATCATTCTGGTGGACTTTCTTACTGACGAGCAAATGGCCCTGTTGCAATATTTAAATTTCCATCCTTCTATTCTCCAAAGTAGAGATTCCTGCGGAGTTCCTTCCTGAAGCCGGAAGGAGATCATTGGCACTTGGCTCTCCTCCCATGCACGTGAAGGAAACAAATGAAATGGCCGTTGAGTTTCTCATGCAAACTAAGAGTTGAGTCTTTGTCTTACTTAAGTTAATGTGAAGTACTGGAAAGAAGGATGTGAAGAGTTTCTAGCTGGGACACTCCGGAAAAGGAGGATAATCCTGTCCTCATCCCCTCCTAGGTATACTTGGGATATTCTCCTCATCCGAACCCCATGGCCACCAGGATCCCTCAGGGTCTTCCCATCCTGGTGACAAATCCTCCACACAGCAGCCAGAGGGCTCCCTAAGTACAAACTTGACACTATCCCTTCCCTGCTTAGAACCCTCCATGGCTCCCCAGTGCCCTCAGGACAAAGGCCATGGCTGACTGGCTCATTCACAATCCAGACCCCTCTGGCCCTACCTCTCCCCTCTCCACACCTCTCCCCTCTCAATTCAGAAATAAGATCCTTCTCGGATGTTCCATCTTTATCATATTTCCTCTTAACTTCAGAGCCTTCACACATTCTCTTCCTTCTCTGGAATGCTCTTCCAGGAGTCTGCTCCACGTAGCGACTTACTCGTCCTCTGGATCTCATGGTGGACACCACCTCTCACCATGAGCCTACCCACATGCCCCAGACCAGTGGGGCCTCCTTGGGTTCCCCAAATCCTGTCGTCCCATGGCAGTCCTCTTGACACTATTTTTCTTGGCCTGATTATCGACCTCCCCACCCCAGGTAGGCTGGGAGCTCCAACAGTCTCGGCTGTTACTCAGCAAGCACCCCACATTTGCTCAGCAGAGAGGGAAAACAGAAGAGCAGTTTTGGGCTTCATGACTGAAGTGGGAAGGGGGAAGGGAGCAGCAGTGTATGTAAGCCCCACCTCCACGTGCCCCGGTACCTAACACGTATACATGCGGAGTGTATACATGTAACACATATACATGCAGACCCTACTTTCTCTCCCTTCAGGTGCCTCTTCTCCGCTTCAGCTCGTGGCCACTATACCGTTTGAGTAGCTCAGGCAAAAAACCTTGCAGTCAGTGCCTTTCTCTTTCACTTGTGTCAACAGCAGCAAATCCTGAGTTCTAGATTCAAAAGGCATCCATGGTCCCATGGTCCGACCCCTTCTCATTCCCCTGACGGACGACTGTGGCCACCCTGAGAAGGCGCCTTGCAGACTTCTGACAGCCTGAGTTTCAATAGCCAAGTGCCCAGCCCCTGAAATCCACTGCCGGCCCTCCCACGGCTGCACCTGACCTGTACGAGCGTGTTGGGGAAACTGAGGCAAGCCCCTTCCTGGGAGATACGGGGCTCCCTGACAGCCTGGATGATGTCAAGACTTAATGACCTCAGACTGCATGGTGTTCTCCATGCTTCCATCCAACCTTCTCTCCCTCCCCCTCCCCTGCCTGCTCAGGGTGGACCAAGACCCCCTCCCTATGTTTCTGTATGGGAGCATTCCTCCTACTAAAATCCTTGCATGGGTCACCCCTTTAATCCTACCTTGGGGTCTGTCTCTCCAAGGACCCAAACAAACACAACATCTTCTCAACCTCCTCCCTCTCCACTGCTTCCACCCCATAGACAAGGGCCCAGGATACCCTGTGAAAACCTAAGTCTGAACCTCTCCTCCCTCCGCTCACAGCCTCTTGTTGCTTCCAAGGCCTCGCCATGGCTCACGGGGCCCTGCAGGGTTCTGTCCTCCCCCTAATTCTCCTGTCCGGTTGCCTTGGCCTCCTTGGGTTCCTTCCCCCACTGCACACTGCCCATCTCGCATGCTGCTCCCTCCCCCTGCGCTGTCTTCCCTTAGCTGCCGGCAGGGTTCTGTTTGAGCACCACCTCCTCAGGGATGCCTCCCCTGACTGCCCCACCTGACTAAGACTGCAACACCCTCCCCTCCCAGCTTCCCCTGGCTCTCTTGCTGCCTCGTGGTTCTGCTCACCTGCCTCTCCCTCGCTTAGCTGTTCAGGGCGTGTCTTCCCACTAGGATGTAAGCCCACAAGGACAGGTGCCCCGCCTGTGCCCAGACATAGCTGGCACAGAGCAGGGATTCAATAATTGTGGAAGGAATGGCTAGAAGGAACAACCAAAAGGGAGGGAGGGAGGGAGCGAGGAGGACGAGGTCCAGTCTGGGTGACTCACAGCCGATGGTGAGCGTGAGGGGCTCGCTTCGCGCCTGGCTGCCCCGGCTCCACACCTCGCACTCATAGGGGCCCGTGTCGTCTCGCTGGAGGCTGTGGATGACCAGGCTCCAGTTGCCAGCCGACAGCATCAGGTGCTCGCTCGGCCGGAGGGCCTGGCCCCTCAGGAACCACAGGACTGCAGTCACCTTGCGGGAGGTCTGGCAGGTCAGCGTCACGGAGCTGGCATTTTCCACGGGAGTCAGGCTTGAGGACACAATGTGAGGCTTGGGCAGCATTTCTGGAAACACAGAGAGACACAGGGTGGGGGCCAGGGACCCTTCCAGGCACACGCCATAGGGCTTTCCAGGGATGTGTGTGTATGTGTTGTGGGTGGGGTGTGTGTGTATGTGTGTGTTCTTTGCCTATGACTGCATTATACGGGAGGTACGAGTGTGTGCTATGTGACAACGATGTAAGTATGTTATGGGTTTTGTGTGTATGGTGTGTGGTATATGGACATGTTGTGTGTAAGTTTGTGTCTGTTGTATGTGTGTGTTGTGTATGTATGTTTTGTGACTATGAGGTATTGTATATTCACTCTGTGAGTGTGTTGTGTGTGTATATATTTTCTGCATGGGAGTGTATGTTGTGTGTGGTATTGTGTGTGTTAATGCATGTGAATTGTATGGTGTTCTATATGCTTTGTGTATAACTATGTTGTGTGTGTCTTATGTATAGATGGAGTGTGTGTAATGTGTGTCAGTTGTGTACATGTGCTGAGGGCACTGAATGTACAGTATGTGGTGTATTTCCTGCGTTGTATGTGAAGACACTGAGTGTAATGTCTGTGTGTATGTTCTATATTGTGCGTACACATGATTCACATGAGAGCGTGTTGTGTTTGCGGTATTGTTGGTTGTGTATGTGTTCCGTGTGACGTATGGACGTCTGTGTTTTATGTAAGTATATCCTGTGCGTAGCAGATGGGTTGTGTGTATGTGCGAGTTTATTGCTTGTATGTGTTGGGGGTTGGTATGTACAGTGTGAGCATGTGACGGTCTATGCTGTGATATGTACTGTGTGTTACATGTATCTGTTGCATGCATGTTGGGTTTTTTTTTGTTTGTTTTTAAAGATTTTATTTATTTGACAGCGATCACAAGTAGGCAGAGAGGCAGGCAGAAGCGCGGGGGGCGGGGGTTGGAGAAGCAGGCTCCCTGCTGAGCAGAAAGCCCAATGTGGAACTCGATCCCAGGATCCTGGGATCATGACCTGAGCCGAAGGCAGTGGCTTAACCCACTGAGCCACCCGGGCGCCCCTGTTGCGTGCATGCTGTGTGTGCTTTGCATGTATGTTGTATATTGGTAGTGTTGTGTGTACTCACTGTGTGTGAATTACATGTGTCTTGAGTGTTTTGTGCATGTATGTGAGTGTGCTGTGCATATGTGGTCATTATTTGTGTGCTGAGATGTGTGACTACTGCATGTTTGTTATGTATAGAGAATCAGCCCCCACAGTGACTTTCAGAGAATTGAAGAATGGACACAACCCACAGACAGCCAACAGGGTCTTGTGGAAGATGGGCCGAGCCCAGAGCCAGGTCCTTCCCCGTGGTTAGAGCCCCGTTCTGCCACCAGCCGCGCAGGAAATCCCCACTCTTCTGGCTCCACCCCAACCTCTGGGATATTGGTGTAGCTCTGCTTCTCAGAGGAGCAAAGGAGAGGAACAGGAAAAAGAGACTCACCAAGCACTCGGACTTGAAGAGCACCCAGGCGGAGCAGGTGGGTGGCACTGTTGGACACCAGGCACCTGTACATGCCTTCATGTTCCATGGACACAGCCTGGATGGTGACCGTTCTCTCGGTGGAAGATGGGGTGGAATTATTGTGGAAAAACCAGGAATAGTCAGGAGGTGGGTGAGACTGTGTTTCCACAGAGAAGGTCACAGTGGAGCCCTCTGTCACCTCAACCACTCCCCTGCTGGATACGCCAGAATCCACCTTGATCTCGAATGGGTCAGGACCATCTGGAAGGACAAGAACGATCGTAGCAGGAGTGATCTCATCAGCAATGGCTCTCTTAGACCTCAGGAATCAATAAATATTACTATTTCTCTTCTCTCCACCCAAGCTCTGGGTCAGTTACAAAGGAGGTGCCAGAGTCTAATGGAAATGAAATGTCAGCCTGATCCCTGGGTGAAGCAGGATTGTAGCGTGCCGGCAAATGCTCTTTCCTTGTCCCTACCCAGGCAAGACTTTGTAGCAAACATCTGAAGGGTAAGGAACTTAGTTTTAGATCTCTTAACCTGCATATTCACAGTAGAGTCCAAGCAGAGACATCAGTTAGTTACACGTCTGGAGTTCAAGGGTAGACAAGTCCACATGTGATAGTATCTGGAGCTGTGAGACTGAATGAAATCACCAAGATAGGGGGTGTCCGTGAGGGCTGGGGAGAATGGAAAGGGACTCACAGTTCACAGTCAGGAGGACAGGATCACTGCTCTGGGCCTGGTGGAAACCCCGAGTTTGGCATTTGTAAGGCGCGGAGTCCTCCCGCTGCACGGGCAGGATGGTGAGGGTCTTGCCATCTGTGGACAGCAGCATGCGCTCATGGAACACGATGGGGAGATCATTGGAGAACCAGCGGATGGTAACGTTGGCGTCCTTGGTGTCGCAGGAGAGGGTCACCTCTTCTCTCTCTTCTATGGCAACGGCCTGGCTGATCAAAATGGTGGGCCTGGACAGCAGTTCTGCACAGGGAGAAAGAGAGAGGAGGCAGAGGCAGAGGCACAGACAGAGGAGGACCAGACAAAACGTAGCCACAGAGGAACCCAGAGAGACTGGACTGGAATTGCCAAAAGACGAATGAGGTCAAGGCCTAGACTCAGATTCTAGATCTACTGCTCATTTTAAGTGTGATCACGGGCAACTTACTTCCCCTCTCTGAACCTCATTAAAGGGGATTGTACGAATAAAGCAGAAGGATCTGGGATATGACAATGGGTCCATTAATAGCAGCTGTAAGGAGAACCACGCTTGTAACTGGGATGCCAGCCAGATCCCACTGCCCACTCCTTAGCCAACCTTTCCCACCCACAACCATGCCAGGCACAGTCCACCCCTCCACCCCTGCCCCGAGTACAACGGATCTGACCGGGTATTGCCAGACCATCTGGTTGGCTGGGCCAATCAGATTTGTCCTGTTGGGATTTGGGGCACGGAATACTGATGGTTGCTTTAGGTATGAAGACAGGGATCAGAATGATAGCCTTGTTTTCTCTGCCCACATCTCTGAATCTGCCATTGAGTCTGGGGTGCCCAGGGTGTCCAGGACATAGATGGAACAACGTCCTTCTCACCTTGGGTGATGGTCAGTGGGTTGGCATTGGTGGTGAACTGGGCTGCAGCTGGCAGACTCCACATGGTCAAAAGCGAGGCTGGTGGGGAAAAGAGAAGAGACATTCAGAGAAGGTGTATTGAGAGTGTCCAGTTATGGTCTTTGTAGAGGAAGACCATGGACATGGCATTTCACCCCTAGAGGCCTGACTCCTAGCCACTACTGACTGACCATGTGACTTGTGGCGTGTTTTTAATCTTCTTGAGTCTCAACTTGTCTAGCTGCAGAATGGACATAATGTCACCTGCAGCCCGGGGTTGTGTGTTGTGGTAATGAACACCAGCACACTGTAATGGGGCCCCCTGAGGGTCCCTGTGCTCCAATGACGCTCACTGTGCAGGAAATCCGTGACCCGTCTCTTCATTCCGCAAGAGTGAAAGAGATGCTCAGAGAGGTGGAGTCACTTTCCGAGACCATTACAGTTAAGTGGCAAACTTGAACCTGGCCTGCCAGCACCTAAAGGCTGTTCTACCACTGCATCATTCTTCCCGTCAGTCCAGGGACGGGCACAGAGCTTATCCAGGATAAACAGGAACTTCTATTATCAGGTGGGGGCGGGGGGGGGGCAGGGATTAACCTTCTGTACTTCTGCAGACTTGCCCTCAGGGAGAGATTTCCCTCCCTCCGGGAGGAAAAGGGAACCAGATAGCAAGAGTTGGTTTTCCAGTTGGCCAATCTACATTCACGCTTGAAGAGACCGTGACCTGAGTGGGGACCCCCCCACACCACCCCCTCCGGACTGCCGTGCTCCTGTGCGGCTGACCTTGACCTTGACCCCCACCCCTCCCCTCAGCCCAATTCACGGAGGCCAGCAGCCAGGTTTCTCTCTCCAGCCCTCCCTGGACCCCAGGCTGGCCTGAGGCCTGCCCCATTCCCTCCTCAGTCAGTGGTTAAGGGCATGGGCCCTTAAGATATATGGAAAAAACTACTAGGTCTATGATCATGGGCAAGAGGCTCTCTCTTTGTGAGCCCCAATTTCTTCAACAGCAAAATGGGGAGAATAGAACTTAGTGCATCAGGTTGTTGGGAGGTTTGATGAGCTATCAGATGGACATGCTTGAAACAGTTCAGAGTAAGTGCTCAGTCACTATTATTATAATCATTTCCATGTTTGTATTTTCTGCCTGTAATATTGCTAGAGGTTAAGTCCACAGGCTCAAAGCCTGCCTGCCTGCCTGTGAATCCCAGCTTTGTCTTTTTTTTTTTTTTGCAAGTCATGTCCCCTCTGTGAGTCTGTTTCCCCATCTGTAAAATGGAGTAATAATAGTTTCCACTATTACAACAGTATAACTATTGTAAGGATAAAAGAAATATTATGAGAGAAAGCATGAACAGTGGGTCTTCTCACCCATCTGAGATACACCTCCCTCTGCAGACAGCCAGCCCCTTCCCCCACAGCCTCCTCCCCACAGGGTCCTGCCTTCTGCCTTCTGTGCACAGGAGGAACCGAACTCCCAGCCCCTCAGGAGACTCCGGAGCCCCCGCAGCCCGCCAGGTCAGCCAGGGGGAAGGGCCCATCTCAGGGCCACACAGCAAAGCAGGGCTGAGTTCTGCACACCACATACTGCAAAATCATTTCTTTGCCTCCAACATGCTTTACTTATCCCTTATCAAAATAGTCTATAGTTTCTTCCTTTTGCCTCCAAGAGTCTAAGCATCAGTGTCACGTCCACTCCCGTCCTGACTGAGGTGTGACCTGGCCACTCGGGGCCAGCGTATCCTCCCTCTGCCTGTCTTCTCCTGAGGGTCATGTTCCAGCTCTTTCCCTACCTCTCTCTCTGGGTCTGTCTCTACAACTCCCCTGAATCTATTTCTCTGTGTATTTGTACACTGGTCTTGCTGTCTCTGTCTGTCCTCTGTCTCCTTCTCTCCTATATGTCCCTCCCTGTTCTTCCCTCTGCTACAATTTCTGCTGTCATATTCACATTCTGCCTCTCTGTCCCCCTAGTTCTCTCTAGGTCTCTGGTTCTGCGGTTCTGACTCCAACTCTTCCTGTCTGTATGTCATTATCTCTGGTCTCTTTCTACCTTTGCCAATCTCTTTTGTATTTATCTATATTTCTGTGTGTGTGTGTGTGTGCGCGTGTGTGTATTTCTAGTTCTGTGTCTCTTTTGTGCAGGTGCAAGCGCGCGCGCGCGCACACACACACACACACACACACACACACACACACAAACACACCGTCCCCAGGCCCCTCTGAAGGGAGCAGTGCACTCACCTGCAAGCAGGATTCCCACCCAGTGGTGGCCCCATAAGTCAGCGAGCCCCATGGGTCCCGGCACCTGCCCCGTGTGCCCCGGCTTGCACACGCAGGCGCTGTCTTCACTCCACCTGCACACCTCCAGCATCCTCTGCTTCCCCTCTGCCCTGCGGCAACCTCACTGCGATGACAGTGGCTCCCGGGACAGACAGGGGTGGTGGCCGCGGGGAGGAACTTTGGACCCACCCCCCCCACCCCAGGGCTCTCTTTCCTTCCTCTGTCCACACAGAGAACATGAACCCCAGAAATCCTGGGTTTCCACCAAGGTGGAAAAGGAGAAAGAAATCCCTGACTTTTGGCCCTGAGTCCCCTTGAGAACAATGTCACCCTTCTCCTAAGCCCCCGTCCCCATCTCTTTGCCGGGATGCAGGAGCAATCCAGGGAGAGGGGGTGCCAGGGAGGGACAATTGGAGAACATTAGAGTTAAGGAGACCAGGAACCGAGATAATGATAATCAATAGTAATAATAACAAACTAATAATGGTGGCTCCTGTTGACAGCTTAATAAAATCAGGCTCGGTGCCAAGGTCACCATGAGCAGCCTGGAAATATTAAGCAAGCTGAAATGATACTGGTCATAAAGAAAAAGCAAGAAGTGCAGACGGAGCTGGGTTGGGAGAACCCCAGGGGGTGCCTGACCCCACCTGGGGAGAAGGGGCACGGAGGGCTTCCTGGAGGAGTAGATATCTGAGCTGAGACCTGCGGACGCAATAAAGATTCAATATAGGAGAGTTGCTTTTTTTTTTTTAATTCTCTATGGGCAAGACAAGCTGTTGGTCTTTGGTCTTGGTCTTGGTCCTTGGTCTTGGTCTAGGAGCACCTAGACCAAGAAGATCGAATGGAATCAACCAGTTAGAGAACAATTATTAACAACCATCAAACCATGTATCCATTCACTCTATCACTCATTAACAAATATTCCCTGGGCTCCTCTTCTGTGCTGATCCCTGTGCTGAGTAGTTGGGGACACAGTAACGACCAAGACATCCCTAGCCCTGCCAGCACGAGCTCACAGAACTGTCCCCAGTCAGTGCCAAGCCAGCAGGCACAGGGCTGGGCTGGAGGAGCCCAGAGGAAGCACCTGGCCCAGCTGGAGGTCAGGGAGGACTTCCTGGAGGAGAGGACATGGAGCCGGAGACCTGGAAGATGCAGGAGTGAGTCAGGTGAGAGCCCAGTGGGCAGAGTGGGCAGCATGCAGGAGACTGCAGAGTCTGAGGCCCAGAAGGAAGTTCAGGCGCCAGAATAGAGGAAGTGAGAGGTGGGTGGTTCCAGGTAAAGCTGAGAAGACTCTAAAATGATTACCGAGGGCCAAGAGAGGCACCTTGGCATCAGGAGGAGGAGAGTTCGGTCCCCCAGCTACCTCAGCTTGCTGCCTGCCTGGGTCTCCTTCATGCCACAAGCAGTCACCAAGTGTCCACTCCAGGGACGCATGCAGCCGAGCAAACTGGCTCTGGAGCCGAACCGCAGGGAAGCGGATCCTGGTCCCTCCACCCGCCAGCCGCGTGGCCCTGGGCATGTCACTCCGCCCCCTCGTGACTGCTCTCCTCGGCTCTAACACAGGGTGAGGATGGCTTTGGCCCTTCCGAAGGTCTGGGGCTGTGACTGGGAGGCGGTGGCGGAGTTCACGCCCCAGCTGAGACTGGGCGGGAACGTGAAAGCCCGTGAGCTTCCTGGTCCCATCTGCAGAACCGGACAAACAAGACGTCGGTGAGAATGAGCTGATTTGATGCTGGGAAAGTGCCCAGCACAGAGTAAGCATTCAGTACGTTCAGTACAGTACGTGTGACTCTCCACTAGGTGTTGTGACTGTGGTGATAGCAGCTCTGGGGAGGAAGTGTGCGCTCACTCAGTCACTCAACACACATGTCCTGAGCACCTCCTGTGTCTGCTCTAGGTGCTCCGGATGAAATGGACAGAAAACCCAGTTCCAGGGCGGAGAGAGACAATAAACAATGAGCATGATAAACAGGTAAGTTATGTGGAACATCAAGAAGTGATACAGGCTACGGAAAAAATGAAGTCAGGCGCCTGGGTGACTCAGGAGGTGAAGCGTCTGCCTTCCGCCCAGGTCACAATCCCAGGGTCCGGGGATCCAGCCCTGGGTGGGGCTCCCTGCTCAGCAGGGAGCCTGCTTCTCCCTTGGCCTCTGCCCCTCCTCCCCCTACTCATATGCACGCTCTCTCTCTCTCTCATAAATAAAATCTTTATTTAAAAAAGACAAATGAAAAGTCAAGTAGGTTAGGGGGTATCAACTCCATCTTGTAGTTAAGAACACCAAAGCTCAGGGAAGGGAGATGGCTCGCCTGCGGTCACAGGGCCTGTCGGGCCATAGATTCTGGTCTCCCTGGCTCTTAACCTCCATCTGTCCTGCCTTCCAAGGTCCTAATGTGGCTTCTGGCTAACCCCAGCCTCATTTCCTCTGTACACCCAGATGGATCAACACCTGTGGCCACATCAGCCCACCACACTCCCATAGTCCGTGGCTCCCTGTGCCGGGCGCACCTTGCATCCAAGGCCTCCGTCTATCCATCCTGCCCTTCCCGGGATTTCTGGGTCTTCTGACTATCCACCCACTCAGCTGAGGCTTCCCACCTGATTCCTCTGCTCAGTCCCGCTCCCATCCCAAGGTTCTCACCTCTCCCTCACCTCCGCTCCACCCAAGAGGAGAGAGCCGCCACTGGGGTGGACTGCCCAAATCTGCCCCTTCACACAGGAGGGGGGTTTTCTCTTCCAAATTCCCCTCCCCACCCTCCCCAGGGCAGGGTCTGTGTTCTCCTGCCTCGACAAGAAAGAGGAACTTCCTGGGCTCCTCCCTATTGTACAACACTCACTTTGTTTCTGACAGGTGAAAATAAACCCAGGGCCCTCCCGCCCCCACACCGTCACCTGCCAGCCTCCTGCTCAAGGCTCAAGGCTATGTCTTCCAGGCATGGCCTCGAGGGACCGCCCTCCCAACCCACACTGCCTCCCTATCGCTGCCCCCGCCCCGCCCAGTTCACTCAGCAAAGATTTATCTGGCCCTACTATATGCCAGGTACTGTTTTAAGTGCTTAGACGAAACAAATCACCTTTTATGCAAGGATGGGCAGAGGCAGAGGGAACAGACAATGGGCAGGACATGTGATTAACCAAATCACGTACGACGTTAGAAAGTGCTGCTGATATGAGGGCTCAGGGCAAGGGGTCAGCGTGCTGGACAGACGTGCCGGACGGAGGACAACCCTGGGAGACTCACCGGGCCTCAAGCAACAGCTAGAAGGAAGTAACGAGGTGAATCAAGCCTGTGTCTAGAGGCTCCTGGGAATTTATTCACTTCGGAAAAAACGGAGGCAGGGTCCCAAAGAGCCATTCCCTGCTTCCTGTATCTAAATACTGTGTGGGCCACCAGTCGGGGCGGGGCGGGGGTGGGGGGCTCAGTCAGTGAAGCGTCTGCCTGGGCTCAGGTCATGATCTCAGGGTCCTGAGATGGAGCCCCATGTGCACCTTGCTCAGCGGGGAGTCTGCTTCTTCCTCTGCCCCTCCCCTGCTTGTGCTCACTATCAGATAAATAAATAAGTAACTGCATGAGTTCCCTATTGCTGCCATAACAGATCATAACAAGTCACCACAAACTCGGCTGTTTAAAACAACATAAATTCATTATGTCACAGTTCTGCGGGTCAGAAGTCCAGGCTGGTTCTGCAAGTTTTACCGCTGACATCAAGGTGTTCCTGGCTGGGCCCCTTGTGAGTGGGAAGAATCCACTCACGAGGTCACTCAGGGTATTAGCAGAACCCAGTTTCTTGGAGCTAAAACTGAGGTCCCCGTTCCCTTGCTGGTGACCCAGCTACGGGCCACCCTTGGCTCCTGAGGTCTCCCACCAGTCCTAGCACGAAGGCTCTGCATTGGAGGGCCGCACAGGACAAATCTCTCTCATGCCTGGAATCTCTCTGGCTTCTCTTCCTGCCCTGTCTCTCTACCGCTCCCAGCTGGAACAAGTTCTCTGCTTTGAAGGACAGTGTTGTTTGACGGGGCCCGGCTGGATAATCCAGGCTTCCTGCCTATCTTGTATGTAACCCTAATTACATCTGCAAAGTTCCTCTTGCCATGTAAAGCAACATATCCACAGATTTGTAACATATTCACAGATCGGGGTGTGCACTTCTAGTCTGCTTATCACTGTGATGTGGTGCGAGGGCCGGACATCTAGAGCTGAGGCAGCCATCTTGAGGCTATGAGGTAGAATTCTGGGGACGATATTCAATAAACTCAGGGTGGGAATGGACAGAAGGATTTCATTGAACCATGAAATAAGCCTGGGGCACCTTGTAAAGTAACAATTATGGTTTTTGCAGCTGAATGCTTCCTATATGGTACCCTGTTCTGTCACCACTGGAAATATTTGAATTGCTTACCTTGGGATTAGAACCCTGATCTTTTAGAAACTTAAGACTTTATAGGGCTTTTGTCCTTTGTCTTAAAGGATAGTAAAACTTGTAAAACTCACTTTGAGAAGGAATCTACTTCACATTATTACTCCACTTAAAAAGAGATTTCTGTCTAGTTCCCTTCTGTGTAGATAAACTGAGTCTCAGAGCGGAAAGTGAAGTTTTTCTCCAGGGTCATAGAGCTGAGTCCTCTTGGAGCCCCTGGGAAACTCAATTTTGTATCATTGACTTATTGGACCCATGGTGCAGGAAACGCAGGAGAAGTATAAATGAGAAGGGAAAGGATCTCTTATACAAGGGCCCAGGTGATACAATCCCAACATCTCAAAGACAAGATGGAGAAAATCCATAACTGAGAACCTCTACACACATACACACACACACACACACACACACATATACACACTCACACACGCACACATCAACCTGCACCAGTAGGACCACTACACCATACTTTCCCAGAAGCGTCTCTAGCTGAGATATATTCTCCCCTGGCCACCAGGATAACTCAGCAGCACCCTCCCAGTCTTACCCCCTTCTTCACCATAACAATCTGCACCCCACCACACTGAGTCTGAGTTGT